ACTGCCTCATACAGCCACCACAATCACTGATACACACAATGCCTCATACAGCCACCACAATCACTGATACACACAATGCCTCAAACAACCACCACAATCACACCAGTACACTTCACAAAGTCTGGCCACTTTACAGTTACTGCTCGCCAGGGGTACAATCATGGCTTGATGAGAGAGGAAGATGACTGGTAAACCCAGCAGGTAAACTGTTCGTATAGTCACTCTGTCCACCGTCTGGCAATCAAGCAGTCTACACATACAGAGGGCTACACAATCACCGTCCCAGGGACTACACAATCACCGTCTCAAGGCTACACAATCACCGTCCCAGGGACTACACAATCACCGTCTCAAGGCTACACAATCACCGTCCCAGAGACTACACAATCACCGCCCCAGGGGCTACACAATCACCGTCCCAGGGACTACACAATCACCGTCCCAGGGACTACACAATCACCGTCTCAAGGCTACACAATCACCGTCCCAGAGACTACACAATCACCGTCCCAGGGGCTACACAATCACCGTCCCAGGGACTACACAATCACCGTCACAAGGCTACACAATCACCGTCCCAGGGACTACACAATCACCGTCCCAGGGGCTACACAATCACCGTCCCAGGGGCTACACAATCACCGTCCCAGGGGCTACACAATCACCGTCCCAGGGACTACACAATCACCGTCCCAGGGGCTACACAACCACCGTCCCAGGGGCTACACAATCACCGTCCCAGGAGCTACACAATCACCGTCCCAGGGGCTACATAATCACCGTCCCAGGGCTACACAATCACCGTCCCAGGGCTACACAATCACCGTCCCAGGGGCTACACAATCACCGTCCCAGGTTCTACACAATCACCGTCCCAGGGCTACACAATCACCGTCCCAGGGCTACACAATCACCGTCGCAGGGACTACACAATCACCGTCCCAGGGGCTACACAATCACCGTCCCAGGGGCTACACAATCACCGTCCCAGGGGCTACACAATCACCGTCCCAGGGGCTACACAATCACCGTCCCAGGGGCTACACCCTGGGGCTTGAGCCAGAGCTCAACCCCCGCAAACACAACTAGGTGAGTACAATCACCGTCCCAGGGGCTACACAATCACCGTCCCAGGGGCTACACAACCACCGTCCCAGGGGCTACACAATCACCGTCCCAGGGGCTACACAATCACCGTCCCAGGGGCTACACAATCACCGTCGCAGGGATAGACACGATAGATGTGGTCACTGTGAAGCGACTCAATGAACTGGGAGCTGAAAATAGCTCACACAGGCGCATCCACCCCTTCCCACAACCCCTCCCACCCCCCTCCCCCCACCCCACATCCTATTCAACCTCAACCACTCTAACCTCAACTCACAACGCCTTCCCTTGTCACGTTTTCTTGACCCCCCCCTCCTCCTCCTGCCCCCACATCGTTAGTACAAACGTAGGTGACAGCCAGAACAGGTGACACCCAGGACAGGTGACACCCAACACAGGTGACACCCAACACAGGTGACACCCAACACAGGTGACACCCAACACAGGTGACTCCCAACACAGGTGACTCCCAACACAGGTGAAACCCAACACAGGTGACAACATGGGTGTCACCTGTGTTAGGAGTCACTATGTTGGGTGTCACCTGTGTTAGGAGTCACCTATGTTGGGTGTCACCTGTGTTAGGAGTCACCTATGTTGGGTGTCACCTGTGTTAGGAGTCACCTATGTTGGGTGTCACCTGTGTTAGGAGTCACCTATGTTGGGTGTCACCTGTGTTAGGAGTCACCTATGTTGGGTGTCACCTGTGTTAGGAGTCACCTATGTTGGGTGTCACCTGTGTTAGGAGTCACCTATGTTGGGTGTCACCTGTGTTAGGAGTCACCTATGTTGGGTGTCACCTGTGTTAGGAGTCACCTATGTTGGGTGTCACCTATGTTGGGTGTCACCTGTGTTAGGAGTCACCTATGTTGGGTGTCACCTGTGTTAGGAGTCACCCAACACAGGTGACACCCAACACAGGTGACACCTTAGTTCAGTGTATCGACCAAACACAAAACAACACAAAGCTACAGTTCCCAGCCAGAAACTCTCATCACAATTCTCACCATCACAATAAACCATCATTATTGTCTTCAGTATGGCCATCATCAGTCATTCTCATCGTCCTCATCACTGTCTCAAGGAGTTCATCTCCTTAAAGTTATCATCGATGTTAGTATCTTTGTGTTCCAGTAATATCCCTTCTGTTTCCTCTTTATTCCCTTTCTTTCTTTAGTTACATCACCATTTTCAATTATTACTTTTACCTTTACTTTCCTTTCCAATCTTTCCCACCCCCTCCCCCACAACCCCCCCACACTCCCCCCTTCTCAAATACTCATTTCCTGTCTCCCCGTTCCACACCTCCACCCCTCCCACACACACACACACACACACACACACACACACACCACACACACACACACACACACACAACTTGAGAGGTTGAGAGGCGGGACCAAAGAGCCAGAGCTCAACCCCCGCAAGCACAACTAGGTGAGTACACACACACACACACACAACTTTTGACCCAACGTTGCGAGAGATCCTTGTTGCCCTGAGCGTCACTGTTGCCAAAACGGAAGTGAGAACAGTGATGGCAGTGTCCACCCACCGGCAGTGTTACCACCACTCACTACCCCCCCCCCCCCCCACACACACACACCTCACGCAAAGTCCTCATACACACGTCACAGCAACGTCATCAACATGTCGCAGATACGTCACAACCTCGTCACCCCAATACTCACACAACATACTACAAACACAATAATGCTAAAGCTCTATTATAAAAAAAACACCCACGCCTCATAATTGACGATTGATGATTCAACTATAGATGAGGAAAGAAGCCGCGAATTGGCTAACAGAGAAGTGGTTGACGCCCAAGTTGATGAGTTGACGACTCGAGGAGCAATTGACTTTCATCCAGTTGCTTTCTGATCGCCAACACTAAAAAAATAAATGTTCGCTATTTTTAGTTTCGCGAGTTTTTCTTATTGATTTTGTGAGAGGGGTCTTGATTTCGCGGGGTTTCGTTAATTTCGCGGGGCCTGGTTGATTTCGCGGGGCCTGATTGATTGCGCGGGGCCTGGTTGATTTCGCGGGGCCTGGTCGATTTCGCGGGGTGGACAAAATATCGCTGATTCATGTTATCTCAAGGAAGCTTTCATGCCCAAAAGAAAATTCTGTATTTAAAGTTTAAGCTACAAAGCAAGTTTATGTCCATATCCCACCATATTATCTGACCCTGTATCCCACCTCCTTGTCCTTATATCCTAGCTCCTTGGTCTCATATCCCAGCTCTTTGTACTCATATCCCAGCCCCTTGTCCTCATATCCCAGCCCCTTGTCCTCATATCCCAGCTCCTTGTCCTTATATCCCAGCCTCTTGTCCTTATATCCCAGCCCCTTGTCCTCGTATCCCATCAAAATGCTACCTAGTCATAACGGCTTGTAACAGCCTACATAACGGCCTAGTTCTCCTGCTAATCATATTAATCATAACTCTAAAGAACTTATCACAGTTTAATCACGCAATCCAACTATTGATTAGCTGATATCTGGTAGCTGTGTTATCTCCCTCAACTCATCCTCCTGAACTGAGAGTACTTTTAGTAACTATTTGGTCCAGAGTACCAATATGTAGTGGAGTACCAGCGAGCCACTTTTTGTACTAATAATTGTATTGAGTGCGGAAATAAATTAATCTAAAAATCAATCTTATACGATCCTAGGCTGTGTAGCACATATATGTACTATATTAGGCCTAAGATAACGTGAACTGTATTTAGGCCTAGGGGTTGCTATCTGGAATATCTGCTATGAGAGGTTAGGTTTAGTCTTATATCTGTGTTACGGTTAAAACGTTTCAGGGTCCAACATTCAGTTACAATATAGTTGTCCACATGGTTACAGAATAAATGACTACAGACCTAGACACCTTGAATCACCAGTTAGTGACCACAACCTCTCTTTGGGAGGTCCGGAGCTAATGTGGACGAATCTTGTTACTATACAATGCTTACAAATGCACTCTCTTATCGGGTGGATGGGTTGACTCGGGTAGACAGCACTAAGCTGCTATGCTAATCTATATGAAAGATTACAGAGTAGTGGTCAAGGGCCAGCGAGGTTCACCTACATAATATCCTCCTAACTCTGGCAAGTTCCGTCGTCACGATGCCTGGTGGATGCTTGGTGCTGTCCTGACATATACTTCTCAGCTCTAAACCAATTATTTGGTTAATACTTGTACTCTCTGCTCTTTACGCCCTTGTTATTCCTCTTCTGTCAGATCTGTAGACAGTGAGGTTTAACACTATTGTGACCTTTATCGTCCTTATCAACCTCTGACGTGGAACAGTATCAAAAGCCTTACTGAAACCTAAGTATATAATGTTATAATTACAAGAGTCTACTGTTTCAAATATGATTGAAGAGAGAGTTAATAATTTCTTCAAGATGAGTACAGGTGGCATTTGCGATTACCTGTTCAAGTAACCCAGTAGGGAAAGTATACACAGCCCACACCCCCCAACACAAACACTGGCACCGGACTGCATGACCAACACACAATGGTGCCAGTCATGAGATGGTCATTGTTCAACCCGTCCTTTCCTATAATTCACCGCATTTTCTCGTAAAATTCAACAATGGCCAAATACTGGGGTGCTGTAAATCATAGCAGATCACATTCAAGCTTTCTATGCATGGTCTCTAGGTTAAGGTTAGGTTAGGTTAGAACGTTTTAGTACACAATTTTCTGTCCGATGTGGCAACTCGAGAGGATGGGCTGCAGTATCTCTCATACGCACGTCCTAGAGCCGTGAAATAAATACAACACATGATACGGCATAATATGTTAGCACAGATGTAAGTATGAATTGAATATACATTATATCAAGAACGGAAGGGAGGACTGAAGAAAAAGCAAAGAGAGCAGCACTTACCGTGATGATGTTTTCGCTCCTCTGGACCAAGTAGAGGCTCCTCCTCATTACAAATTTTCTTAACCTTGACATTCTTTTTCGAAGACTTGCTTTCTTTGGAGTTCTTTGCCTTTCGCGTTTTCCTTTTGTGGTGTCCAGTCTGTTCTTTGTTCTTGACAGGGATGGAAGCATGGGTTTTACTCGAGGACTCTCCTATCTCTGGCACTGATGACTGAGTGGCTTTCACGGAAACGGTAACTAATATGTCATAAGACGTGTCTGGACTGGCTATGTGTATGGCCTGTTCAACGTTGTAGTTGTGAGCAGTAGGCGAGGAGGCTACATCCAGTTCTAAAGATTCACTGGATGGATTTGTCTGTGTGGTGCTGTCTTCGATGTCCATCTCTGCCCTGTTAACCTCACTCTCACTGTCCGGTTTTATACTTAGCTTTCTTATTTTAGCGAGAAGTGCTTCTTCTCGCTCCTGTTTTACATGACCATCTTCATTTTCAGGGGAGAGAGTTGTTGCTTCTTCTTCCAGCAGTTGGTCTCCTGACACCTTTGCTTGACCTGGAGTCTTAACACTTTGATGACAAGGAAGTGCATGTACAGTTATTGGTTCCTTAATATCTTCTTGTTCACCCACGACAGTGATATCACGAGGGAACTTTTCCGGCGATGCCCCGAGAGCCTTTGAGGTCAAAGTCCCTGGAAAGTGTGACTCTTGGGAAGCATCGAGTTTCTTGGGGCCTCTTTTGTTCCATTCTTTCGTTCCTTCGGAGTCAGCAGAGTGAGTTATGTCGTCAGAGAGTTCACCCGGAGGAGCTTTATGTGGTTCAGGTGTCGAAGTCCTTGGAAAATAGCATTCAGGGGCGGTAGTATCGATTTCCTGAACCCCTTTCTCATTTTCTTCCTTCTGGATAACACCTTCACCAGTTGGACTTGAAGTTCCTGTGGAGCTAGACTCCGAACTAAAGTCCGGCTCATTGAAGCACATCTTGTTTTCTTCCTCCCAGGCTGCAGTATCAACAGACTGGGTAAATTCATTGTTGTGACCATCTTGCTTCCCGTTCTTCTCTTCCTTGTCCTTCACACACTCCTCTTCAATCTCTTCCTCCTCCTCCTCTTCTTCCTCCTCCTCCTCATCCTCTTCGTTCTCATCCTCTTCATTCTCATCCTCTTCATTCTCTTCCTCCTCCTCCTCCTCATCTTCCTCCTCCTCATCTTCCTCCACCTCTTCTTCCTCCTCAGTCATATACTCTTGGGCGCCCCCACCAGAGGCTTTAGACTTTAATGCATGACCTGGATGACTTTCCAACTTTCTTTCGACATCCTTCGCAATTGGCTCTGGCGGAAGGATTGAGCAAGACGTCCAGACGTCATCACACTCTTCGTCTGCAAAAAGTGGAGGAGGAGCGACGAGCGGAAGGGTGTCGAAGTCGGTTATTTGAGACACAAGCGCTGGTCCGTTTACCTCAAAGTTCCAGGTATCGAAGACTTCATCTATGTTCCAGTCATCAGTGACGTCCTCCATCATCCAGTCATCAGTGACGTCCTCCATGTTGAAGGCATCAGTGACGTCCTCCATGTTGAAGGCATCAGTGACGTCCTCCATGTTCCAGGCATCAGTGACGTCCTCTGTGGTCCCGGCATTAGTGACGTCCTCTGTGGTCCCAGTATTAGTCACGTCCTCTGTGGTCCCGATATTAGTGGCGTCCTCTGTGGTCCCGATATTAGTGACGTCCTCTGTGGTCCCGGTATTAGTGACGTCCTCTGTGGTCCTGTCGTTTCTGGTTATATCTACATCTAGTTGTTCCAACTGTGACATTTCTGGTGGGTGTGATAGAGAAGCTACCTGAGGCTGTGTTGAAGGAGAATGTTTCAGTAACAGTGTTGGAGGTGGCTGTCGAGGAGGTGGAGGAGGCACTTCCAGGCAGTCCATGTTTTCCAACTCATTTAGTAGTTGTGTTGGAGACCTGCCTTGGTGCTCTAATGGAGACTTACGTGGAGATTGTGGGAGACACACATCAAATAGTTGTGACTGAGAACTCTCTGCAAGCTGTGCTGCAGATGCTTCCTGGACCTGTGTTGGAAAATCCCTGTGGAGTTGCATTGAAGAACTCTTCGATGAGGATGGATCCACATGCTGTGTTGAAGAAGCCTCCAACTGTGTTGGAGGTGGTTGCCGTGGGGGTGGAGGAGGCACTTCCAGAATCTCCATGTTTTCAATTTCATTTACGGGTTGTGCTGGAGATCCACGTTGGTTCTTTGATGGAAATTTTGTAGAAGCATTTTGATGCTGTGATTGGAAAGCTTTTGGGATCTGTGATATAGAAGTTTTGTGGGTATTCTGATTTGGAGCTTTTGGGATCCTTGTTGGTGAATGTTTTGAGAGATGAGTTGGCGATTTTGGAAGCTGTGTTGGAGAATGCTTTGGGAGCAGTGATGAGGCTCTTGGAAGCGGTGATGAAGAAGATTTCTGAAGCTGTTTTTGAGCTTTTAAGAACTGTGTTGAAGACTCTGGCAGTTGTGTTGAAGACAGCTTAGGAATTTGTCTTTGAGAGTCTTTTGGTACCTTTGTTGAAGAAACTTTTGGAAACTGTGATGGAGAAGATTCTGGTTGTTGTATTGGATAGGTTTCTAGTGGTTGTATTGGAGAGGTATCTGGAGATCGTATTGGAGAGGTATCTGGAGATCGTATTGGAGAGGTATCTGGAGATTGTACTGGAGGTGGTTTTCGGGGGAGAGGAGGAGGCACCTCTAGGATCTCCATATTTTCCAACTTACTCAAAATTTGTGCTGGAGACTCGCCTCTCACCTGGTTTAAAGTAGTTTTTGGAAGCTCTCTTGCACAAGTCTTTTGTTGGGTTGTTTGTGGTGACTGCCGAGGGATGGGAGGAGGAACTATTATAATCTCCATTCTCTCCAACTCACTTAAAAGGTGCGTTGGAGACCAGTTTTGGAAATGTGGTAGTGTGTCCTCTTGAGCCTTGGATGAAATTGACTCTGAAGCATGCACAAGAGATTTTGGGGGCTGTGTTAAAGGACTCTTTTGATGAGGTGGTGGAGAGGGCCTTGGAATGCGTGTTCGATGTGACTTTGGTGGCTGTGATGCCACAGGCATCGGAAGCCGTGATTGAAACAACGTTGATAGCTTTTTTTGAGAAGACTTTGGAGGCTGTGTCAAAGTGGGTTCCAAAAGGAATTCTGTTGAAAAATTCTCCATTTGTGTTTGGGATGCCTCCCAAAGCTTTGCTGGGGAAATATTTGCAGAGTGTGTTTTCAGGGGAGGAGGAGGAACCTTTGAAAGTTTAATTTCATTCACCTCCTTCATCGAGTGTGCTGGAGACAGAGAGGAATGTGAAAGCTTTGCCGGAGAAACTCTCGAGAGTTTGGACAATGAATCTTCTGGGAGCTGTGTTAGAGGAACCTCATAGGCACATGTTGGAGTGGCTTCTGAGAGAGATGATGAAGATTCCTCTGACAGTTCTGTCAGAGACAATTTTCTCATCTGCATTGAGGCCATATCCTGAAGATGTGCTAGAGATGTCTCTGTGAGATGAAGCGATGACCCTCTTGTCGGAGGTGGTGGAGGCGGCCGGTGTGGAGGAGGTGGCGGCACTAGAGGAATATCCAAATTTTCCAGTTCCTCAAAGACACGAGATGCCATTGCCTTAATTCTGCTCTTGAGGAAATCAGCATAAGCACCATCTTCCTCTTTCTGGAACATCTGAATATGGGTATCATCGAGTATTTGAGGGGGTGCACTTGATAATGATGCTAAGGAATCCACTTCTTCGGGAACCAGAGGGCTTGATGGAGTCTCTGAGAATGATGAAGTAGGTGCCACCACTTCCGAACTGATTGATGGCTCTGATACCGGTGCCTCAAAGGACAACTCTACTGCCAGTGACCTAGCTCCTTGGGATTCAGAGGGAGACTCTTGAGCTAGTGATTCAGTGTGTGTTGATGAAAAGACAGTCTGTTGCAGCAGTAATTCAGATGCTGGCAAAATCAGACTAACATTCTCAGAAGACACAGAGCTGTGAGGAGACACCCCAGTCTGGGACAATGGCGAGATGGGAGATGGCGTCATGCTGTGAGAAGACAACACCCTGCTTTGAGATCGCTCTTGGCTGGGAATTAACACCATGCTATGAGGAGATGACACTGGAGTGCGAGGAGATGACAAACCCCTGTGCGAAGATGGCGGAGTTAGTGGAGGTGGTGGCGGTGGACATGATGGCCTCTTGAAGCTAGAGAGTCTGGGTCTGGTGGATACACCCCTTCTCTGCTCCGATCGCTTCACACGGATATCTTCAACTTCTCTCGTGGATTTCTTTGGTAGCTGAACTTCCACTGGCTGATCCTCAACCTTGGATTCTTCTGTTAATGACATCTCAATCTTGGATTCCTTTGTTGATGACATTTCAATCTTGGATTCTGCCATTGGCAGCACCTCACTCTTAGATTCTTCCATTGGCAGCACCTCAATCTTGGATTCTGCCATTGGTGGCACCTCAATCTTGGATTCCTCCATTGGTGGCACCTTAATCTTGGATTCTTCCATTGGCGGCACTTCAATCTTGGATTCTTCCATTGGCAGCACCTCAATCTTGGATTCTTCCATTGGCGGCACCTCAATCTTGGATTCTTCCATTGGCAGCACCTCAATCTTGGATTCTTCCATTGGTGGCACCTTAATCTTGGATTCTTCCATTGGTGGCACCTTAATCTTGGATTCTTCCATTGGCGGCACTTCAATCTTGGATTCTTCCATTGGCAGCACCTCAATCTTGGATTTCTCCATTGGTGACACCTTAGCCTTGGATTCTTCCTTTGGTAATACCTCAACCTCAGATTCTTCTGTTGGTATCTCCTCAACCTTGGGTTCTTCTGTGAGTGACACCTCCATCTTGGATTCTTCCTTTGGTGACACCTCAATCTTTGATTCCTCTGTTGGTAACATCTCAATCTTGGATTCTTCCATTGGTGACACTCCAACCTTGGATGCTTCCACTGGCAATACCTCATTCTTGGATGTCTTTGGTGGCATAAATTTCACTATGGATTCATCAACAGGCCCCACTTTAAACCTGGATTTCTTTGGTGAAAGAGCTATCATTGTGGATTCGTCCACCGGCACAACTTCAAACCTAGATATCTTTCGTGGAAGAACTTTCACTTTGGATTCATCCTTTGGCAACACTTCAACCTTTGATTCCTTCAGTGGCATAATGTTCATTTTGGATTCTTCCACTGGCAACACTTCAGACCCGGAAATCAATGGTGGCAAAGCATCAGAGTTGGAACCTTCCAATGTGGATTTTTTTAATTTCGTTTCTTCTGGTTTTAAAACATTCACATCTGGCTTACTTGGTGGTAAATTTTTCACATTTGTTTTTTTTAATATCGAAATTTCCACATCTGGTTCAGTTGGTATGGAAACTTTCGTTTTTAGTTCATTTCGTGTCAAAACTTCACTAGGTGTCAAAAGATCCACAAGCAGTTCTTGTGACCCCAAACTTTTCCCAGTCTTCTCCTTGGATCCAAGATCTTCCAAACTATGTCCTCCTGATCCCTCAGGAACCAAAACGTTTCCTTCCGATACTCGCTGGGGTGAAGCGTGATTGTCGTCTGGCTCTTCGAGCTGGGTCTTGAGGAAAATGCTGTCGAGATCGGTCTCCAGGTAAGGCTTCACTATCGTTGGCCAGCATCCTTCCGCACCACTGCCACCATGGGCATCATATACTGTGGCAGAAATGTTATGTTTTATCTCCCTCGAAGTGTCAAGAGTGTTCCCTGTTGCTCTATTGCCGGGAGTGACTTCGAGAGTTCGGCCATCGTTATTCATTTCGTTTGCTGGTGCATCGTGCAGGGCTTCGGTTGAGGAGACATTTTCAAGGAAGTCTGTTGATGAGATATCACACAGGGCTTCTGCTGATGAGGCGTTGTTCAAAACCTCTGTTGATGTGGCATCAGGTAGGAACTCTGTTGATGAGACATCGTGCAGAAACTCTGTTGATGAGACATCACAAAGGGATTCTGGTGATGAGGCATCATTCAAGACCTCCGTTGAAGTAGCATCGGGAAGGAACTCTATTGATGACATATCGTGGAGGGCCTCTGTTGATGACGATGTATGATGCTCAATCTGCACTGTTGTAACATTCGTGCCCTCCATGTCAAAGACTGAAGACGTGGCATGAGAATCATCAAGGTGGTGTCCATCACCATCATCGCCCGAGGACTGTGAGAGATTGTCTTCGGAATCGTCCATGGCATCGACCATGTTCCGGTAAGAGGAGCGGGAGCCTCTTCTGCGCTCATCCCAGCCCGAGCTTGGTGACTCCAAGCTTGACTCCTTGCAGGACGCGTCCTGTGCCTGCTGCCTGCGGCTCTCTGTTCCAGAGTTTCCTTGAATGATGACCTCTTCGGAGAACTCTTCGTGATAAACATCGTGGCTGGTGGTGGATGTGATTCCCCTTCTGTAAACAGCTGTGTCGCCTCTCTCACCATGCGCCACCAACACCGCCTCCTCCTGCCACTGCTCCACCTCCTCTTCTCTACCGAGGTCGTCTACCCTCCTGGGCCGTGTAGACGGTAAAGACAGAAGCTCTTTAATAGCGCTGGTTTCCCTTTTCATAGCAAACAGGTCCCGTTGTATCGAGGACAGTGTCGCCCTCGCGCTCTCGTCAAGGTGGACAGTGTCAGTGCCACCATGTTTCTCTCTTCTCCTGGCCTCAATGACAGTAATCTCTGCAGCTTCGTCCGACGAGTCATAATCTTTGCTGGAATCCGAAGCACTCACGTCTCCATCACCATCATAATCAAGGGTGAAGCCCAGACCCTCCTCGGGCCTCTCCAGGGCGACATCCACAGGCACCTGCCACTCCAAGCCAGGAGAGGCCAGAAAACAGGTCTCCCGCCATTCTCTAGACATCGTCAAGAGCGACGCCAGGCACTCAGGTCTGAACTGAACTGTAGAGCGACGCCAGGCTCAGGTCTGAACTGAACTGTATTGTCTTATACGCACATTACCTCCCTCTCTAGGGCTGGCCATCACTTATATATATAATGTTGCTTTTATGTTTCACTTCTGAAATGGTCAACAAAAAACGATTTATTTCCACCGAGATTCAATTACCCACGAAGTCACTATTTTCACTTCTCAAGACAAATTGAATCGAATCAAAACACCTTAATACACATACACATTTGTGACCACGTTTCCCTTGGCCATTATGCTGTATGTTACAGCATTATTTCAAGGCATTTCACAAATCTGTCTTAATGTCCCAAGGCGAATGTTGTTCAAACGTTTGTATTTGTGACTCACTTGATAGCCACGGCCGTAAGTGGTCAATACACGCCCACAGTACTGGTCAATACACAGTCCAAGCTTTATCCATCACCTTAAATTCAACGTTAATGAAACCCCAAGACAAATGTTTCTTTAGTGACGACAACCAGAGTAACAGCCGGACGAGGCTGTTATTACCCCAGCCAAGCCGTGCACTAGCCGGGTGAAGCTTACCAAGCTTAATTACATTATTACATTTATACAGCTGCAGCAGTGTCCAACACCTGAGTAACCACCATCTCCCACCACCCACCCTCACTACTACCACCCCACCCTACCTACTACCACCCCACCCTACCTACTACCACCCCACCCTACCTACTACCACCCCATCCTCACTACTACCACCCCACCCTACCTACTACCACCCCACCCTACCTACTACCACCCCACCCTACCTACTACCACCCCACCCTACCTACTACCACCCCACCCTACCTACTACCACCCCATCCTCACTACTACCACCCCATCCTCACTACTACCACCCCATCCTCACTACTACCACCCCATCCTCACTACTACCACCCCATCCTCACTACTACCACCCCATCCTCACTACTACCACCCCATCCTCACTACAACCACCCCACCCTCACTACAACCACCCCACCCTACCTACAACCACCCCACCCTACCTACAACCACCCCACCCTACCTACAACACCCCCCCCTACCTACCACCCCACCCTCACTACTACCACCCCACCCTACCTACTACCACCCCACCCTCCCTACTACCACCCCACCCTCACTACTACCACCCCATCCTCACTACTACCACCCCACCCTCACTACTACCACCCCACCCTCACTACTACCACCCCACCCTCACTACTACCACCCCACCCTCACTACTACCACCCCACCCTCACTACTACCACCCCACCCTCACTACTACCACCCCACCCTACCTACTACCACCCCACCCTACCTACTACCACCCCACCCTCCCTACAATCACCCCACCCTCCCTACTACCACCCCACCCTACCTACTATCACCCCACCCTACCTACTACCACCCCACCCTACCTACAACCACCCCACCCTCCCTACAACCACCCCACCCTCCCTACAACCACCCCACCCTCCCTACAACCACCCCACCCTCCCTACAACCACCCCACCCTCCCTACAACCACCCCACCCTCCCTACAACCACCCCACCCTCCCTACAACCACCCCACCCTCCCTACAACCACCCCACCCTCCCTACAACCACCCCACCCTCCCTACAACCACCCCACCCTCCCCCTACAACCACCCCACCCTACCTACAACCACCCCACCCTATCTACTACCACCCCACCCTCCCTACAACCACCCCACCCTCCCTACAACCACCCCACCCTCCCTACTACCACCCCACCCTACCTACTACCACCCCACCCTACCTACTATCACCCCACCCTCCCTACAACCACCCCACCCTCCCTACTACCACCCCACCCTACCTACTACCACCCCACCCTACCTACAACCACCCCACCCTCCCTACAACCACCCCACCCTACCTACTACCACCCCACCCTACCTACAACCACCCCACCTTCAGTATATAACCTCCACCCTCAGTAGCACCCAACCCTACGATCTTTCCCCACTACCGCCAGTAAGTGAGGACAAAGAGCTAGACCTAACTTCCCCATAGGTAATGTAAGGTAAGCGGAGGTAGGTCAGTACTACCCCCCCCCCCACCTACTGCCTGACCTCGTCTGCTCCAGTCACTTTCCTCACCACCACAGTGCCTCAGTCAGCCACTCTCCTCACACAGCCACTGTCTTAGGTCACACTGTTCAGCACATGTTGTATGCTTTCTTCATCCAGATTTTTCCACCTCACACTCGTTTGAAGTGCCCCCTCCCTCCCTCACTTCACCTACCTCCCTCCCTCCCTCACCTCACCTTACCTCCCTCACCTCACCTCACCTCCCTCCCTCACCTCACCGGGCACTTGACACGCGCACTCCACCATGCGGGACACTCCCCCGACGACAGGCCAAGTGAGGACCGGTCTCATTCAAAGCTCTCATTGACTGTAGTTCCTCAAGTAGGCACTATAACTACTACCACCATCCTATGTGGGCACCAGAACCACCACCACCATCCTTTGTGGGCACCAGAACTACCAACACCACCACCATCCTATGTGGGCACCAGAACCACAACCACCACCACCATCCTCACTTGGACACCTCCACTACCACCATCTTCAGGTAGGCACAACCACCACCACCATCCTCACTTGGACACCTCCACTACCACCATCTTCAGGTAGGCACAACCACTACCAACATCCACACACGACCACTACACTGCTCCACTAACCCCTCCCCCCATTTACTTTTACCAATTCCAACGGTCACTGGCAGAGCTTGATCCAGTTTCTTGTTTCCTCTGAAGCGACCAACACACCGGAGCAGCCGTGAGACCGTGGCCCTCTGTCCGACCCGGGGCAGCCGTCAGACCGTGTCCCTCTGTCCGACCCGGGGCAGCCGTGAGACCGTGTCCCTCTGTCCGACCCGGGGCAGCCATGAGACCGTGGCCCTCTGTCCGACCCGGGGCAGCCGTCAGACCGTGTCCCTCTGTCCGACCCGGGGCAGCCGTGAGACCGTGTCCCTCTGTCCGACCCGGGGCATAACCGCTCCTACACTCACCACTCGCTCGAAATCATAACCAGAAATGCGTAATTCATCACAATTCCCATAAGCGTGTCTTCAGTACACTCAAATGCATAAAACACGGATCACTATGCACATATGCGTAGAATATCACTAGTCACACTTGCGTAAGCTTTCCCAGTTGGCGTTAAGTCACCACTATCGACAGCACTGCCAAACCGGCTATTCCAGGGTCACAGTTTTGCAAGCAATCGGCGATGGTAAAGTACATCCAAGTGTGTTGTCAGTCGGTCTGTGGTGTGCAGCGCCCTGCCTCCACTGTCCGCCTGGCAGACTGGGGCAGCAGCAGCGGTAGCAGCAGCAGCAGCAGCAGGAGACGACGAATTAATATGGCGCAGCACGTCAAGCTTCCCTGCTTGGCATGACCACCGCTTATCTCACTACGTGTTCGATTCCGTTAATCCCATCCCACTCCTCCTGTCTCACCACCGACAACCAACCGGACACCACCACCACGCGCCTCTCACTCTCTCTCACCACCGCAAAAAGAGTCTGACGAGGAGGTCAGAGGTGGCGCTAACGAACGCAAGCGGCCACAATCTCGTTTCTATCTTATCGCACTCGAACGCCGCCGCGGCCGCTGCCGCCGGTATCAGCATTCCGTGGAGATAACATCCTCCCCACCAGGACGCGCCACCAACACAAATATGACGGCCATTGCGTCATCAACAATGGCATTCTCGTTATAATTTATGCACAGAAGAGGTACACAGCTTGGCAGCTGGAGGTGGGTCTTCGCAGAGCTAAAGCTAAACGTGTCTACAATATCCAAATATACTCCAAAAGAGTATCTTGCGGTATAAAGGTAATTCAAAGTATATTTCTGCCTAAATAGAACATTGAATTTTTCACAAGACAAAATATTAAACGTATATAAAACTGATTTAAACAATACACAACGCTTTAAAACCTTCACTTATATAAATATAAAAGTGTGAAAACCTTCACTTGAAAAAACTAGGAATCAGAGTTGTATAAACAAGAAGCTGTTGGCTTTCACGAAGCTATCAGACCTTGTGATTTCCCCAAGCCCTGGCACGAATAATCTCCTCCTAGTACTACTACTACTACTACTACTATTACAAACTACCACGTCACGAATACACCCCTCAAAGAAGCCAGTCGAGTGGTGGGGCACGTAGGAGAGGGGCTCGAAGCTTGAGCAATAAGGTAGTCAACCATCGCTGTGTTAATATGTTTCGTAAACTTGCCACTCCCCCTAGGCTCACCCCCGACCCCACGCGTCATAGAAAATGTACCCGCTCCAGCAAAACAGAAAACGTCTCCTTTGAAACGGTTAACTAATGTATAAAACACCTGCACCCTGACCTTTCATGACAATTATTACAATAATAATAATATTAATTATAATGTAAAGTATCTAATCAATATTTCTGTGTTTACATTACAATGATAACATAGAGTATTTATATGTCTATAAAGCCACTAATACCGGACTGTCCTGATAGAAATACGTAACTTGATTTGATTTTGATTTAACTAAAGCATCAACAGCCAAATGTAAAATGAACTAGTTGTAAATAAATAGATATGTAAATAATTAATATAATAAGTTTAAATATGGTCCAAGAGCTAAATCAAGCCCCTCCCCCCCCCTCCCACGAGGCTCTTATTAACCTGGTCACCCATCCAAGTACTGACCACAACACTAGTATACATTTCCAAATCATACAAAAAGTTAATACAATCAGAAGCAAATTAGTCAGAATGTTTGGTAATATGTTTATTGTTTGTGATGTGTGTCTATGTATGTATTAACACGATGTACTAAACGGGGTGAGAATAGCTTCAGCTACCTCATCCCTTTGTGTGTATTTTACCTCAATAAACTTATTTCAATTTCAATTTCAACGACTCCTTAAAATTCAATAAGTAAACGGCAAGGTACATATATAGTGTTTCAAGAGTACATATAGAATGTTACAAGAGTACCGTACAAATATACAGAGAGAGTTTGGATGGATATAAATGGGAGCAAACCTATATGGGCCAATAGGCTTTCTGCAGCCTACTTAATCTCTACGTTCTTCTAGAAGTGAAGAAGTTGGAAGAGGTAAGGGTAGTATCGGTAGTACTGGGTTTCAGGTAGTACCCGGGTCTCTGTTCGTTTCTCTCTATCTCCCTTCCTTCCCTCCCATTCTCTCTCTCCCAGTGGAAAACACATGCCGGAGTAATAGAAATCATTTATTTATTTATTAAATAATTTATTTATTTATATAAGAGTTCTTACATTCTTGTACAGCCACTGGCACCCTGTCCTTAGGTCCTTAATCCTAATATTAATCCTTAGATCTATTAATCCTATTATTGCCCCGGAAACGACCCGCCAAATCGTTTAACAACCAGGTACCCAATCACTGCTGGGTGAACAGAGGCTACAGTTAAAGATTGGCGCCCAGTAAATCCTCCTCGGGCAGGATACGAACCCAAGTCAAAGCCCTTGCGAAACGCCAGGCGAGTGTCTTACCACCACGCCACGGAGACTGCTAATCGACTGCGATGCCCAAGATCATCGTTATCTACGTCGATTCAACGCCGATAACAGCCGAGAAGTTGGACAACGCTATCGACAATCAAACCTACGCTTCAGACTTCACGGGAGTCGTTAGTTGTGGCAACAAGTTCCAATCCTACTTAAAGAGGGGCACGGGGGTGTCGACCCACCAACCACCAGGTGACACTCGCCATAAAATCACAGTTCACCATGGAAAGTTCCGTGAGGCTAACTGCAACAGTCTGCCCTCCAACCTTCAGCAGCGACTGTGTCTCTCTCCAACCCGTCCTCTTAAAAATACCGTCACTTTTGGCTCGTATGCGCACTATGGCCAAATTTGGACGTAATTTGAAATGAAATCGACTCACAAAAGTGACGTACTGTTCCGTTTTCTGTTTGAGTCGTCCGGCTTACGCGGTAAGGTTAAAGGAGGAAGCTTTCAATTCACGTTTTTCATACCGTTTTGAAACTTTATGAGAATTTCCTGCCCACCTAACCTACCAGAGGACCCTTGACTTAATGCTGTTGAAAAAAAAAATCCCAAATCTATTTTCATTTTTTTTTATTTTCAATTACGTCCATATTCGGCCATACGGGCAAACGGCCAAAGGCGACGTTCTTTTTAAGAGGACAGGTTGTGCTCTCTCACTGATGGATATAGATATTCTGAGTGGTACCGAAGACAACAAGGTCTCAAAACAATTATAACAAACACACGATAGAAAAAGATATTCAGAATTTACTCAAATAACAGCGACTCATTTTACAATGTTAGGATTGTACATGATATACACAATCTACACACTGAAGCACCATCACACAGACCATATACAATCAAGAAAACAATACAATTAAGAAAATAAATATACGAGAAGGAGGCCATTTCGTCAAGGTGGGGTCCCTCGATTGTTTCAAGCGCGGGTTGGACAAGTATATGAGTGCGATTGGGTGGTTATAGATAGGAGCTGCCTCGTATGGGCCAAGGCCTTCTGCGGTTGCCTTTGTTCTTATGTTCTTATGTTCTTCTTAGGTTACGTCGCCTTGAACAGAAATGTTCACCACAGAGAACACCACCCGGCAACAGGTCAAGTCACTGGGGTTAGGTACCTTTGTTATACAAGGTCCTAGCAAGCAATAGATATATCTAATTACACACAGAAATCTCAATAGCGTGATTCTTGAGGTTATCTTGGTTATCTTGAGATGATTTCGGGGCTTTAGTGTCCCCGCGGCCCGGTCCTCGATCAGGCCTCCACCCCCAGGAAGCAGCCCGTGACAGCTGACTAACACTCAGGTACCTATTTTACTGCTAGGTAACAGGGGCATAGGGTGAAAGAAACTCTGCCCATTGTTTCTCGCCGGCGCCTGGGATCGAACCCAGGACCACAGGATCACAAGTCCAGTGTTCATTTTGATGCATCAAATGAACAAATCCAGATTTCCCGGTTGCAATTCTTTTACCATGTCGTAGCTCAGTCGATTAAAGCAAGCGTCTGGGATCCTCTGGGACGTAGGTTCGAACCCTCGTCACGGCCCTTGTGGATTTGTTCGATATATCTAAATTGTTGTTTTCTTGTCCTTGTGTAAGTAATATTAACGATTCTGTAACTACCTTCACAAGATTGTCTCTTGCTTAGCTGAATGAACTATGGGCGCCTGACAGCTGGGTGGACAGCGCTTCGGTTTCGTAGTCATGAGGTTCCGGGTTCGATCCCCGGTGGAGGCGGAGACAAATGGGCAAAATATTTCTTTCACCCTGATGCCTCTGTTACTTAGCAGTAAATAGGTACCTGGGAGTTAGACAGCTGCTACGGGCTGCTTCCTGGGGGTGTGTAACAAAAAGGAGGCCTGGTCGAGGACCGGGCCGCGGGGACGCTAAAGCCCCGAAATCCTCTCAAGATAACCTCATGATGGGGTTCAGTTTCTGAACCCATTATGTGCCTCCGTCACCCTTTCCCTGCCCATGGGATAGGTATGGGATGCATAATAATGAAATTGAATTAAATTGTATTCAACGGCATGCTGAAGTATCCATGGAAATTGAAAACAAAAAATGTTACGACTTCCCCAACTTGTGTTTACCTGGAGTGGGTTCCTAGAGTTACTCTACTCCCCCAAGCCCAGCTGCAGGCCAGGCTCGATTTGTGATAACTTGGTCCAACAGACTGTTACTTGGAGCGGCCCGCATGCTCATATATTCACTACAGTGTGGTTGTTGTAGGATGTTGTCGAGACTGTTGGGCTATTGAGCCAAGGTCTTCAACCAGGATTCATCAAAGCATTTATGCATCTCCTTACGGAATCTGTACATCTCTCAGCAATCATTTTTTTGTTATTAAAGAGTGGTCATCTCTTTTTATGGTGTGTGGTTTACCTGGTTGATGGGGTTCTGGGAGTTCTTCTACTCCCCAAGCCCGGCCCGAGGCCAGGCTTGACTTGTGTGAGTTTGGTCCACCAGGCTGTTGCTTGGAGCGGCCCGCAGGCCCAGGTTTAGTCTTCATTTATTAAACAGTTTACTTCCTTGTAAACTTTACAGACCAAAGTTATTATTCTTACAAATGACCTCAAAGTCATTCCGAGCTCAAACTGTTTAATCAATTTAAACACACCTGCCATGGTTGGGGAAAGATGTAGAGGTTTCGTAAGTGGTTGCCTAAATGTTTAACGAATCCCGGCCTTATAGTACGGAAGGCAGCAGGTGTGAGGTGATTGATTGATGAAGGATTTTTCATCTATCGCAGGGGAACGTGCAAATAGGCACCCAGCACCGCTCCTGTGCCAGGTAAGTCCACTACGGGCTCACCATAGCCCGTGCTACTTGCCCCGCTCCTGTGCCAGGTAAGTCCACTACGGGCTCACCATAGCCCGTGCTACTTGCCCCGCTCCTGTGCCAGGTAAGTCCACTACGGGCTCACCATAGCCCGTGCTACTTGCCCCGCTCCTGTGCCAGGTAAGC